AAATACCGCTTCCAATTTCTGGGATACCTATTTTGCTCTTATGGTCTATTATATGAAGGTATAAGTGGCTTATTCTATCAGATTGTCTGGATAAAATTTTTAGATTTTGCTGATACAGTCACAACAATAAAGCAAAGGTGGAGAGAAAAGAGTATCAGTCCACACGTAATCATTTTTACCTGTCTTTTTAAATCCCTCATAGTGAGGTCTTCTGATGCCCTCCTATCAATTCTAGTTCCTAAAAATATTCTGGATGAGAGCTCAAGATGCACTGAAACTCCATTTATTTCAGTTCTGCAGCAATTACACTGCTAGTTGTCTGCTAGCAATTACTGGGTCCTTAACTTGCTATCCAAGTCTCCTTGACTCCCAACTTCAGTAAAGATGTGGTGTGCTGATGAAGACCTGTCCATTCTTATTTCCAATGGAAACACCCCTCCCTACCTCTAGCAGCATCTCTTCAATTTCTTACATGTTGGTCCCTAGGACAACGCTCTTCGATCTAGAGTCCTGTCTTTGACAGTTTCCTTTCAGAGTCAATTCATTCCTACCTTGGCCCAAGCATCAGTTTTGGGTCTTAGCTGCTTTATGAAGAATCTTCTTGTAGATGACCACTTGCCTGAATCCTAAGCATGGATTAAGCATTGGAATCTTTGATGTTGAGCTTTCCCCAGACCCTCGATTTGTCTGGGAAAGTCTAGTGCTTGCTTTTGCTGAGTTGAGTAACTTATGAATTCATATAGTTTTTGCTCCCTGGGCTGCACCATGACCAGCTCCCTTTTTAACAAAGTGACATGCTTAGTCTCAGCTCCTCTCTCCTTGCCTGGGATCTCCTAGGAAGAATCTTTATTCCCAACAATTTACCTCTTGAATTTTAGCGGGTAGAGACTATATTATTGCCCACTTTTACTCCAACATGCGACTTCTTTTAAAAAATATTATAAATGGTTCTCTGGCCTTCATTGCATATTGAATATTTCACTCCAGGTATCAATTCAGAGAATTTTTTACTGGGTTAACTTTAACACAAAATTTTGTGCAAAGATTAAAAAATGTATATAATTCAGGTTAAATAATTTGGCATTATTTTGAGGCTGAACGGCATTATATAGGAAAAAAATCTACAGATCCCAAATAGCTGGATTGAATTTGTTTAATGATTTTTATAAAATTACATAAGTAATTAGAGGATAAAGCCTCAAAATGAAATTGGCAGATACAATTTATTTCAGAGTAAGATTATAAATTGGAAATAACTGCAAGCTTGAAGGGAAAGTTCTCATTTATTTTGGAGTACATTTAAGTCCTATAGCATCAAAATTTTTCTATGATTCTTTTGAAGGTTGAGGAGATCAGGATTCACTTGGTACTAGAGACAAGGATTGCTTTGGCTACTTATTAGTTTACCTTCAACATTTTGGCCCACATACAAAATGTATACAATATTAGAGGATAGGCATCAAAAAATGAAAAAAATATTTTGATAAAGTGAGCCTTCTTCATGACTTCTTTAATACTAACTCTTGAAACCATTGAAACCATATAAATCATGAATGATGAGCCTTGATTAAGAAAATTGAAAGGCAAAATTAAGAGAAACTCTCAATGAAAGCAAAATAAACAACTTGTTTCATGCATAAAACATAAGTGGAAAAGAACTGCTCTTCCTCTTTTTTGGGGAAAGAGCTTGCATCAGGAGTCTGGGCAACCACCTATATATTTCTCAGTATTATCTTGGGAAATATTTATTCTATTATCTTCATTACTTAATTTCTCCAACTGTAATGAGAAATCACAGAGGCCAGGCTGAGTTTGTTGTAAGTAAACAAGTCAAGGAATATAAATGTGCTTTGTGAACCACCAAATCATAGATGCACATAGGTGTACAAGGAAGGCAGGACACTGGTGTTGGAGGCCAGGTTGCTGCCCATCCTTATAACCTTGAGTTTCAAGTTTCTCCCATCTCCACGAGATTGTTCTGCATGACTTTTATGGTCCTTCCCATTCTCGACTCTTCCTTCATTTCTAGATTACATCACAGCTTCATATAAGCATACTATTTTTTTCAGAATTTGCCAAATTGTACATTTTGGATTAATAAGATCATTGCAATATGTATCAGATTTTAAATTTTTTGGTTTTTTCCCTCACTGGAACAAAAATTATTTTCTATGAGAAGAAAAATTCCTACAGTTGAGTAGACACTTGCATGAAAAATGTTGAGTAGACACTTGCATGAAAGCTGCCCCCCCAACTTTTTTTTTTGTTTTAATTTTTTTACCTTATGAAGCCAATTTTTTTGAAAGACCATATTATGTGCCATATTAAGCATATCATAGTTGTAAATTCTAATAATGATACTTGCTACTGAAGAAGAAACATGCAGAATTGGAAGCAAAATAGTACTATAATAGAAATCTGAATCTATCTAAAAATAATTAAACTAATTCCACGTGTAAAGGCAAGTTTCAAAGGAGTAATATTTTTCAAACAAAAATTCAATAAGTGGTTAAATGGGCAGAGTGGCTGTCCGGTATAAGAAATCATATGGGGTTTTGTGTGGCCAGGTGCAGGAATTCATACAGACGTGGCTTTTAGATTTTATTATGTAGAGATATTTTAAGAGAAGCTAGGCTGAAGTGTGATTTTAGACTTCATAAAACTTTCGGCTTTACTGGAGATCACTATAGAAAAGGAGGAAAATCAAAATGTTCTCAATGTATGCACATGCCACAGCAGGTGTTTCCATATCTATTTTATTTGATAACTTCCAATCACTGAAGGAGATTTTAATGTCAAGTAGTTGTTTGTCAGTAAATGTGCCTATGCCTGGAAATAATTTTAAAAATCTTTGTAAGGAAACAGATTCTTTTTTTAGGTCCAGATATTTTCTCAGAATGACATGGAGTCTGGCTAAATCCTCATGTAGAGGTAAATCATGCATGATAATATCTGGTCATCTTCATTGTCTACGTAAAAACAAATGAAAGTTAAGGTTAATTTTTGATAAAGTGAATTATGCAAACATAATGTACATATTTATATTTGGCTTTGGTGATAAGGCAATATACAGAACTCGTGCAAGGATTGTGTGCACACACACACATGCACAAAAACTGAAGCACTTTTTCTGCCTTGTTCTTATTCCTTTCTGAGAGCAGACTCCTCAGTTGAAATAATGTAAGTTTTCTCCCCAATAGTCTGCTCAGGAAAACTTCTATTAACACAAGTGTTTCTAAGCAAATATTTCTGAAATGTTGACAAATGTCTTAAATCCAGCAATGACAGCATAATGAAGGGTATGTTGTTGGGAAGAACATGCTCATCCAAAGTAGAAAAACTACCAGTTAAAAATCACAATACATAAAAAAATATTTTTCAAGGATAATTGCCATTTACCTGATAGGTTTTTCATAAAAAATTATAAAATATTTTAAAAGAGAAAACAGAATATTTCAATAACTTTTGTTTTAGTTTATCGTTACAATCAAGGAGTTGGACTATATACTAAGTTTTTTGTTTTAAACTCTACCATGCTATGATTTTAGTCAACATAGGAAGGTGTTAAAATATGTCCCACTGTTTCATTCAAATGGTAATAGAAAAGGTGGTTTAAAATTGTATGCCTGATAATATAATCCTTTTCTTTTATAGGTAACAAAAGCAAGTCCCAGGGAAGCAAGACTACCCAATAGTACCCATCTATTGGGGCATCAATGTCACTGCTTCCAAATCTCTGTAATCATTAGATATTTTGCTTTCTTGTTGCTGTTGTTGTTGTTATTGTTTTATTAAAGACTCCAGATTCCCACCCTGCACCCTTGGAAATTCTGCTCTAGTAAATATGAAATGAGGTCAGGAATCTAATTTTTTTTTTAAAGAAATCCTCAATATTCTGACTTGTAGTTAAAGATAGGAACTACAGATCCACATCAGACTACCTGGGATACAGTGATGGAGGGGAGCAGGGATGTTGCCCAGTTCTCGGGCAGTCTTTCCACTGTGGCATAGCAGCACCTTCCTAGCGGGTCTATTATTGTATGCCAAAAACTACCATTGTCCTAGTGTTTCCCCACTTCTAGATGAAAAGCATAAAACATAAATGACATCAGTTGGCATCTAGGTTACTTGTCTCTGATAGGTTTCCTATGGAAAAGGATATTCCTGAAAGAAACAAGAATTAAATGAATGTATCTAAACACCAACCACAGAAATATAAACAATTATAAGAGAATATTATGAGAAACTATATTCCAACAAATTGGACAACCTAGAAGAAAGGGATAAATTCCTAGAAACATATAACCTACCAAACCTGAAACAGGGAAGAAATGGAAAATTTCAACAGACCAATTACCAACAAAGAAATTGAATTAGTAACCAATAACTCTCAACAAACAAAAGTGCAGGGCCAGATGGTTTCACAGGCGAATTTTACCAAAATCTAAAGAAAAGTTTATACCTGTTCTTCTCAAACTATTCCAAAAAAGAATGGATCTATAGCCCTTACTTACCATCTGCTCCATCCTCACATTCTAGAAGTTTAATTCAGCTCAACTCCTATAAACTCTCCTTATTGGAAAGTACAAATCTGTCCATCATCAAGCAACAGTCTTGAGCATTTTAAGGGAGTCTGGGATTTGGAAATTATTTACTTTACCTCAAGTCAGGATGTATAATGAAATGAATTACTCTTAATTGTTAGAATATATCATAAGAAGAAGGTCATGGGTGCTTATACCACAGGAATTTCTTAACCTTTCTGGTAGTAAAAGAAAAGCTTACATAGAAGTATCTACTAACGAAGTTGGTTTTATAGAGAGACCAGAGAGAGCAAAGGTGCTTCTAAGATCGTCCATGTAGAATTCCAAACACCTCAGCATTCATACTTCTTTCAGTTCTCAACATAGATCTTACATGTTCACTGTGTGTAAACTGTGGCCAAAATACACATTTCTGTTCCTTATCCTACTCATGGATGCCAAAGTTTACTTTAAGGCTTTTTTTTTTTAATGTAGCACACTATAAGAAATATATTATAATTCGGCTTTCAATGAAATATCATTTCTAATCTTCCCTGTTAATAAAAAGATGAATTAGCTTTTTACTACTAATTTTAGAGAAAATTAGAAAAAAAAAAGGAAATGACTTACCTCTAAATATGACTTCAAATAAGGAGCTTAACTAACAGCTTACTACAATTTAAGAAAAAAGTAGAATTCAACATAACTGAATTTATTTTCATATCCTATTTAAGGATTATTTGTTACTGAAGTTGACAAAATAAGTTCATTTATAAGTTCTGTTGTTTCTAAGGCAGTCTCATGATATGGCTCTGGGGATCAAGTACACGGTTAAAGCCATAATAGACTACCAAATGATATACAAAAGATTTTGTGAACATTTTATGTTTGCTTTGGAAGTCTGATCTATTAAACCTGTGACAATTTTATTTATTAAAAGAATAAACAAGGAGATCAATGGCATTAGTCCATCCTTACATTGGTTAAGAAACTATGAGTTGTATATAGAAATCTACCAAGTGTTATTAATGTGTATAATTCTTATTTTTCAATGTAGTTGGGACCAAGAAAGTGGTTAGTTAATATATGTACCTCAAATGCCTTAAGTGGATACCTATTAAAAGGTATACAAAATAGAAATAGTACTGTATATTTTCAAAAATTTTAAATAAACACAAAGAATATATAGGTATACATATTATAATTTCAAAGTCAACACTAGCACAGAAGTTTTTCTTATCTAAGTACATACTAGGATACTTCCTGTTTCAACACATGCACCTACAAACACATGGCCATGCACATAACCTTGCTTTCTGCCACTTGCAAGAAAGATAGAATATACAATATAGTACATTGTTTTGACTTAAATCATATTGGCAAATTAATGAAGATGGCATTAAAAAATTCTGATCTAAGAAATCAAAATACAGGAAGATAATTATTCCATAGATTAAAAACACTGAAGACTGATGGGAAGTTAAGATTTAAACTGTCTGTCCCAGTGATCTTGAAAGACAGAGAAGAGACCGGATTGGCTGTAAACACTCGGAATGCTCTGTTTGGCAATTAGGACTTTTGTCATCTAGCAATCCAGGCCAGAGACTCAGACCATCGATGCTGCAGATTGCAGAGAAATGGTATAGCTGGGGGTAGTTCTCTGCAAGGCGGGGGGCGCCGATGGAGATCTCGAGGCCCATCTGGATGGGAGACGGCGATTTGCTGGTCTAGCAGGTCGGGAAAATCCTTTTCCAGGTGAAGATTTCACTGCCATGGATTCCTAGGAGACAAAGGAAGACATTTATCTCACTATACAAGCACAAAAAATGGGCTTAATATGTTATGGATCCCAACTACAGGGTTAATGTATTAGCATATTTATAAGCAAGTAAAAGCATCAATAACTAAAGAGGGTAATTGTCTAATATTTGTGGTCTTAAATGTTTTAATCAAAGCAGCTCATTTTTAATATGGAATATGACATTTGATAATCTTGTAGATCTTTTCACATTGCCAAATTTTAATACAACTGTTTTAATACAACAATTTTTTAAAACGATGAGTTCAAGATTCAAAAGTTTAATACAGTTTAATACAACTGTTTTAATACAATTTTTTAAAACGATGAGTTCAGGATTCAAAAGTTTATGTTAGATAAACTTGATGATGGAGCCCTAAATGTTTCTTAGAAGGATATTAGGATATTTTAGTGTTATTAAAAACAAAAAGATAATAATTTACAGGAGAAACTGTGCTCATTTATGTCAAGTTTTTGGAACTTTCAGAAATCATAAGGAAAATTGCACACAGATCACCAAATGATGTATCTGATGCTATCTTTTTTTCCAAGAGCTGTTGTCACTATTTCTCAAGTTTCAAAATTATCATTAACATATTTTAAAATATAGTTTTATTATAAATGCTAATAAAGAATCACTATATTGGTCATTATCTGAAGACTTAAACCATTTCCTTGCTTTCCCTTTCTTTTCTTTCATTTCTTCCTTGTTTTCTCTCTTTCTATTTTAATGGAAGAAAAACATTCTTAGACCCTTGCAATTAAAAAAATTCAAGTGCCTGGGTGCCTCAGTTGGTTAAGCGTCTGACATTGGCTGAGGTCATGATCTCAAGGGTCCTGGTTTCGAGCCCCACTTGGGACTCTGGGCTGACAGCTCAGAGCCTGGATCCTGCTTTGGATTCTGTGTCTCCCCCCTCTCTGACCCTCTCCCACTCACGCTCTGTCTCTCTCTCTCTCTCTCAAAAATAAATGAACATTAAAAAATATAAAAAAAAATATTTAAAAAATTCAAAAGGGGCCCCTGGATGGCTCAAAGTGTCCAGCTGACATCAGCTCAGATCATGATCTCTCAGTTTGTGAGTTTTAGCCCTGCACTGGGCTTGCTGCTGTCAGTGCAGAGCCCGCTTGGGATCTTCTGTCCCTCTCTCTCTCTGCTCTTCCCCCACTTGCACTCTCTAAAATGAACAAACATTAAAAAAAAAATTTTTTTAAAGCTTCCATGACACATATTATACCAGAGTATTATTACCGACCTTCTTAACAAAGCCTGTGCTCTTTCAGCTGAGATGGGTAGTGAGGATGGTCTCTATTCTTATGACAATAATCTGCATTTTCTTTTTCTCTCTTTGGAATCTTATTTTTTTTAAATTTCCACCAGCAGGAGGGTGAGGGAGGGGATGAAGAACTACTCTTAAGAATCTACACTATAGGACCCCTCCCAAATTCTCGACCAGTGCAAAAATGTAGCGGATCAATATTTGGCTGGTTATTTTACAACACGTTTCCTTTTGCCGTCTGAAGCTATAGGGCTTTCCAGGTATTTATGGGCTCAACTGAAACACAGAGAAATACAAAAGCAGGGTAATTATTTGTACCTTGTACAAACAGGCAAGGTTTCTGATAAAATAGATAAAAACTGATGTTTTTATTTATTTTAATTTTATTTCTTAAGTTGGCTTCACGCCCAGCATGAAGGGAGGGCTTGAGCTCACCACCCTGAGATCAAGATCTGAGGTGAGATCAAGGGTCAGATGCTTAAAGGACTGAACCACTCAGGCACCCCCAAACTGATATTTTTATGGGGTCTGAAAGCCATGTAAAAATAATTTTTTTTACACCAGAAGAAGGCAACCTGCATAGCTTAAAACTATGCTGCACACACACTGCACTTTGCAAAACTAGGATTTTTTGAAGCATTAGCAAATGATAACAATATGTCACCATGTAACTTTTTGTAAATTATGCATAAAAAGGGACTGTCGGAGAGCTCTTTTTTGTAAACACCAATCTCTTCAACCTCTTTTTTTCCCATAACTAACAAAGAATATATTCTTTTGCGAACAAATTGGAACAAAGAATAACAGTTTTTTAAATATTTATTTTGGGGGAGCAGTTTTCATGCTAAGGATTTACACAAGTAAGAATGGCCTTAAAAAATTTTAAGCTATAACATAATTTTATTTCCATGTACTGCCTTTCTGCTCCACAAATAAGAGAACTCTATGAGGCACTATTTTATGATGTGTTATACCCATAGTCACATTCATGTGACTAATCCCATGAGAAGGAAAATGAATCAAATGCTGGGAATGACTGCAGTAATCATGGCCAAGAAGTGAAGAGTTATTTTAAAAATATTTCCAATACTCTTTTCTTAAAAATATAAAAACTTTAGAAGAATAAAATTCTATAAACCAATCCATGCATTTTTGGAATGTTTTTTCAAGAAAGAAACTTAAAACAAACATTTGATCTTCTTGAGGTTCTTAAGCCCATTTATTTTACTTATGTTGTCCCATTTCAGAATTTTAAAAGAGTTGTTATGTACTATTCCCAGTCTTAAAAACTGTATTTTAAGAAGTTCATGTTAAGTTACAGTCCTAAGGTTTATGCTTATTCAGAAATAAAGGGTTGAAAAGTTAAGAAGATGCCAAAATATGTGCCTACATTTTATTTATAGAAATGGGCAATTGACTGAACTCTGAGCCACTGCTAAATATGGACACAGTTCTACCAACATATGTTAATTGCTTTCTCACCTCTGTTATCTTTTTCCAATCTACTCGTCGTTTAACTTGCTGTGCTCCATACATAGCTGTGTTTTGCTGAAGCTCTTGTTCTAATTGAAGTATTTGTAAATGCTGACTTAATGTGGACCCACCACTGACATCAGAATTACATCTGGTCCAATTATCCTGGAAGCATTTAGAATTTTGCAATGCAGGCCCTGTTGACTTCTCATAGGTTTTCAGCAGCTTTTCCACAACACCATAATTTGACTTAGGATCAGCTGATCTTGGCCGGCCAGACAAATTACTTGGTCTCCAGTCATGCTCTTGGAGCATACTCCGATAACTGCTAGGACTCATGTGTTCCTGCATTTGTCTGACGAGGCCTGTTGTGGATTTTTTGGTGGGATTGTCAGGCACATTTTCTCTGGGCACAGGCACGGGCACGTAGACACTGGTTTTCAGAATATCAGACACATCATCATTTTCTGATATGTTACCTGTATGAGTAATTAAGGTATCACAGGGCTTAGGATCTTCAGATGATTCTGAGTAGCTTTGATTTTGCTGTATTGCCTGACAATTTCTATCTGTTCTAAATACAATTCTGTTAAATTCATCAGTCTTTGCTGCCAGCTTTTCATTCCTAGTTGTCCTCTTAAAGTCACAACTGAAACTTCTAAGTGACCCACTGCTCTCTGTCACTGAAGAGCTACAGTCACTATTGATATGAAGATCAGGATGAGATTTAGCAGAATGATCTGGAATCATCTTTTCACATTTTGGCTTATTGGGAGTAGAGCAGATTTTCTGATACCACAATGTAGAGGGACTATTTTTTGCACTGATCCCTGTGTCATATGACCATATGCCAAGTCCAACACTTTCATCACATGGATGCTGGTTATCTATTTTGGTTTTGGGTGCCAACAAAGGGAACATGATACCATCTTTCAAAGTCTTCCCTTCATTTAGACACAGCCTCAAAAGGAAATCAGGACTGTAGTTCCTTTCACCTTGACCCTCTTGGGCCACGTGGCTGTTGTGGTCTAAACTGTCCTTGAAACTTTCATGAGCTTGTTCAGAAAATGAGCTGGGAAAGTTTCGAGATGTGCTTCTTGGAGGAGGAAGTGGTGGAATTTCATTTCTTTGCAGATCAATTGTATCAAATTCATATTTTTTCATAGAATTGCTTTGGAGCGCATTGGAACAGCTCAGATTCTTTCTATTTTTCTGCTTTTCTTTTTCTAAATCAATCGGAAGAATGCCCTGGCCATCGTTGATCATGTGGTCTCTGTGACGCATATGAATTACATTGGGCATTTCCTGAAGAAAAGAATCTGACTTCATTCTAAACAATTATAAAACAAGATATATTAGTGATACCTTTATTTAGGACAAGTTCTCAAAAGAAACCATGGCATAAGCAATGAATTTCTGCTATAAGGACTCACAACTTCCCAAACAGCATTTTCATATAAATTCTCTAGTCAAAACCCCCAAGTCCTTTTACTGTAGGATCAAGTCCACCTCTCAGTACTGCCTTCACAGCCTACATGCTCTGACCCAAACTATCTTTCCATTATATTCTCAAATTGTCTCTTACACTTAGACTATACTGTGTAGTCTCCTGAGTGTCTGCTACTGGGATTTCCATTTCTATGGGTTCCCTCCAGCCATTTCCTTACCTCTGCTCTACCTGCTCAATTCCTATTCATTATGTCACGTGAGCTCAAGTTCCTTCTCTTGACTTTGAAATGACATTCTAAGCTAAGTATGACAGAAATCTGAATAAAAGTTCAGTGAAACATAAGTATTACCAAATGGAAGATGTCATTTGGGCATCATGTGGGCAAAGTGAGCCACAATAAAAATAGGGTGGCTCTTCAAGGTATAGGGAGCATTTTGGTATGGATGGATCATAAAGCAGAGGGTGGAGGATGAAAGAAACATTAAGTTACATTGTAATGTATTTGAATTCCATACTAAGGATTTTGAACTTTTTTCTAAAGTTTATGGAGTAGCAAGGAGAACTTGTATACCAGGTGTGGTTTGTAAAAGAAAATTGACAGGTGAGTCTTTTCTAAGTTTAATCAAAACAAAAAACCTAAATATAGCAACAATATAAATTCAACAATATCAATTAAAGTTAATTGATCATACTGATAAATATAGATAGTATTTATATTTCTTCAACTTGTAAAGTATTATGAAACAGATTACAATAAAGTATAGATAAATACTCATTAGTAGAGAATGGTAGGCAAAAGTGAAATGGGCAGGTAGAGGGCAAAATTATGTATAAAACATGGTTATATGAGAACATCTATTGAGGTCAATACAAAAATTCTTTCTGAGCTTCTTTTTTTTTTTAACGTTTTATTTATTTTTGAGACAGAGAGAGAGCATGAATGGGGGAGGGGCAGAGAGAGAGGGAGACACAGAATCGGAAGCAGGCTCCAGGCTCTGAGCCATCAGCCCAGAGCCCGATGCAGAGCTCGAACTCACGGACCGCAAGATCGTGACTTGAGCTGAAGTCGGACTCTTAACTGACTGAGCCACCCAGGCGCCCCTCTTTCTGAGCTTCTTAACAGCTAAAGAAAAATATGGGTATACATTGCTGTTGCTTTTTAAGAAAAGCACATTCCCTCACTATGAGATAAATATTGATCCTAGAACAGTCTACCTTTACTTACCTTGTAGAGCATACCAATTTATTTTTCAATTTGGTGAAAACTTACAATTATATAGGTGCTTCTAAATTGAAACGGCTTTTTAACATATCATTATATGTGTGTGTACACATATTTACAATATGTTGTGTTGAGAATTATGTATGCTTCCATTATATACCAAATAAATGTAGGGAAATAAACGACTCTTAGGTACAAAAGACTGCAGTAGAACATCATTATATAATTAAAATTCCACATTGTTAAGTCTGACATGTTTTACAGGTGTATTTAACTGGATTAGCCCAGCTATAGACTCTTCCACTGGCCAAACACTCAAAATGAAAAAGAACTACATTAGAATATAGTTGTTAATGTATTATGCATAGTATATCTTAACCAAATACCAAAAGAGTACAATATTCTTAACAAATTACAAAGAATGAGAAGATTTGGTTTAAAAATCAAAAACTGGGGCGCCTGGGTGGCGCAGTCGGTTAAGCGTCCGACTTCAGCCAGGTCACGATCTCGCGGTCCGTGGGTTCGAGCCCCGCGTCAGGCTCTGGGCTGATGGCTCAGAGCCTGGAGCCTGTTTCCGATTCTGTGTCTCCCTCTCTCTCTGCCCCTCCCCCGTTCATGCTCTGTCTCTCTCTGTCCCAAAAAAAAATAAATAAACGTTGAAAAAAAAATTTTTAGAAATCAAAAACAGAGATATATTCAATTAAGGTTTTTATTTCCTATCTAAAATAACAGACTTGAATAACTCATTGTTAATTCTCACTTAACAAAGTGTAAGGAAAAGGCAGTTGGGATTCCTTAACTGAAAACAATATTTTTCTTGATTTTCTGATATGAGATAATCATAGATGTACCAGCATACCTTCTGTGGTTAGACTGCTTTCGGATTTCCTCTTGAAAGCTGTATAATTCTTCACTAACTTTCGCAAGTTCTTCCAGAGCCTTTATACATACAAGCAATAGTATGTTAGCACTTTGAAATGTAAATATTTCTTCAGAAACAGTTCTAGGCTAATCACAGTCCTACTTACTGTGTTGAGGGCACCAGAACAGCTCCTGTCCTCTACCCTGGAAGGCCTCAGGCCAGGGCACGCCCCACCTTGTTTTTGGTTATCTGTGGCCAAAGGATCCATAATCCCTACTTTTGACTTTTTTGTTGTTTTTTGTTCCTTACACATTTGATTTCCTTCACAGAGTAAGCTCTGCTCTGTTTTATTTTCTTTTTCCAGATCATCCCCGTGATTCATCCCTATAAATTCGCATTGTCCTGAATTGGGGTAATTTGGAGAAGATTCCACCACTTTATCTTGAATCGCTTTTTCACGATCATGATCAAGGATCTTAGCACGTTCATTCATGTTGATTTTCCTCCGAAGCTTTACTTCATGGCAAAGCTGTAAGGAAAACAAAGATAAAACTTTTTATCCCCCTAGTTTACTTTGTCAATTTTTTTTTGATACTAAGCACACCATTCTGAGTTCGCTTTGCCATTTCATGATATACTGCTCTGGGGTATTAATGTTCATGCCTCTGAGTAGTGATTCTCAAATGTGATTAGCCAGAAAAACTTGGATGAACCATAAAGACTAATTTTAGTAGGTCAAGGTATGGATGGTAATTTTTGTATCTTTGTGTAGAAATCAACTCTTCAAAAATTAAAAACAAACAACTTGTATCTATATAAATGTATATAGAGGTACATCATGATGATGTAGAAGCACTGTTACCAAGTTGAAATGTCCTGAATCAATTAGTGGTCATGCTCTCTAACTGCTTTCAGAGAAAAGCAAGAGTTTAACTGATATTAAAGTGATGTTTTAAAAATACATGATTCCACTTGTATGCCAAATAGTTGACAATATCATGTGGATATCATGAAATCAAAAGAAGTTTCCTTTGCAAGTTGTGTTGATGCTACTGAAGTATTACTAGGAATTACTGAGATTTTTTTTAATAGCAACCCTATACACATTCAAAAAGGATTTCTCATCCTGATTAAAACAAATGTGACCCTGTTCTATGTGATATTAGAATTCTAAGGCTTTGATCATCTATTAATCTATGTTAGAGTGGATCCCACATTATTTCCCTTTTTTTCCTTTTTTTAAAATTTTTAAATTTTATTTAAATCCAAGTAAGTTAACACATAGTGTAATCATGATCTCAGGAGTAGTATTTCTTTTTTCTTTTTTCTTTTTAATGTTTATTTATTTTGGAGAGAGAGAGCATACAAGTCATGCTTTCTAACTTTTTTTGGAGAAAAGCAAGAGTTTAACTGATATTAATGCTTAAAAAAATGCATGATTGCACTTGTATGCCAACATTCCAGTGTCTAAATAGTTGACAATATCATATAGTATGTCAGTTCATTTCATTGCCTAAGTAGATATTGTGAAATCAAAAGATGTTTCCTTTGGAAGTTATGTTGGTGTTACTCAGGTATTTACTAGGTGAAAGGGCGGGCCTACGCCGACTCCATCCTGTTCTGTGTCCTTCACCTTGACCACGCCTCCTCCCCTTGAGTAACCTCCCGCTCACCTGCTTAACAGGACTCTGACCCTTCCCCAGCCAATCGGCTGAGGCCACAGCCATTACCTCACCAACTGCCCCTAGGCCCCAATAAAACCTTTGTCCTTTTGAAACTCTCTCTCTCTGGTATCTCACCACTGCGTCCTTGCAGGTAGGGGATTGAGCTCGAGCTAGCTCGAATAAAGGCTCTTTGCTTTTGCATCGGACTCGGCTCCCCGGTGGTCTTTGGGGATCACGAATTCTGGGCATAACACTAGGTATTACTTAGATTTATTTAATGGCAGGCCTATACACATTCAAAAAAGATTTCTTACCTTGATTAAAACAAATGTGACCCTGTGCTATGTGATACTAGAATTCTAAGGCTTTATTATCTTTCAGTCTATGTTAGAGTGGATCCCAAATTTGTTCTTTTTTTTCTTTCTTTTTTTTTTTTTTTAATGTTTCTTTATTTTTGAGAGAGAGAGAGTGCTAGCAGGGCAGGAGCAGAGAGAGAGAGGGGTCACAGGATCCGAAGTGGGCTCTATGTTGACAGCAGGGTGCCTGACGTGGGGCTTGGACTCACGAACCGTGAGATCATGACCTGAGCCAAAGTCGGACACTCAACCGACTGAGTCATCCAGGTGCCCCCATCCCAAATTATTTCTTGATGAAAGTTTAGTTTAATCTGCAGGCATGCACTCGGCTTACCCCTAAATAGAAGAAGTGGCTTTCTCCTCAGGCTTGAGTTGTGGGAAAGCTTGGCAAATTTCAAAGGCTTCTGTCAGATAACTATTGAAGAAAATGACTACATTTTACAGCCACAACCTATATCTACAGACATCTTTTAGTCAAGGAGTATAACAAAAGATTTATTGCTGCTCAATATTTACCCAAATCTCAGATGAAGGAAGCACTAAACATAATTGGTGTCTGAAGGATATACAATATATTTATTTCCACGGATACTTATATATCTATCATTGGATAATCTCAGGATAACACCAAATTACAGCCATGATTCAACTGTTTTAGCCCTCATAAACTTACTTGTTCTGAGCTATTGTGAGCATTATGATTTGGGCTGATCTTGAGAAATATCATAAGAAGCAACCCACAAAAGTTGGGAATCCTTAGTTGTTGAATCTAAGGATGCTTATCGTGACATTGGTGACATTGTTCTTTTTTTTTGAGGAGCTATGGGTGAAAAACAAAATTGCTTTAGTTTCAAAATCAGGAACAAAAGTGCTATTTCTGGGAAATAGGTTTGCTTGTTCTGAATAGTGGGAAATATGTTTCTGACAATTTTTCTGTTAGTTACTAGAAAGGCTAGCTGCATGCATTTCACATAAAATCCTCCTGTCTTCATCTCTTTTTTTTATTTTGAAATACTTTACCTTATATAACATTTTATATCCCACCTTAAATTCTCTTGAGATTTAAGTGAGGTATGGAGAAGCAAATAAAATCATGCTATTGATGAAAAACAAATTTATTTTGTATAAGGAAATCTGTGTTATTTCATACCCAAAAAATTGTCAATGGTTATCTGATTATTTGAAACAAGGCAACAAATAGGAAAAATTGCAACATGATTAAAAAAAAGTTCCCAGGTATATAAGAACTCTATTTAGGGCTTCTATGTGGATTAGTCCAGGTTTCAAATGATCCAAGTATGTACATGTTGGTTCTGCAATAGCAAATGCAATGATTGTGGATAGTGGCTGAGCAAAGAATCATTAGCATCTTAATACACAACACTGGGTCCTCTCACTAGAAGATATTACTTGGAATCACTATGGTTACATGGGCACATTAGGGAATCTAAAATTCTCTAGTACTTGGCTTAATAACTTGTGTCTGAATTAATACACAGAACCTAGTGATATATGCTAAACAAATACAGTCTGTTATGCTTGTGGCATGTTATATAATTTTTTCAAGTGTTGTTTAGTTTTAAAAAATGTCTTGATTCTCTGTGACATGTGAAAATACTTTCCTCCTGTCTTCATCAAAATTATTTTACCCCCATTTGTAGCCTGTAAGATGAGTATATATATTTTTGAGTAGGCTGCACTCCTAGCGCAGAGTCCAATGGGGCTCAAACTCATGACCCTGAGATCAAGACCTGAGCTGAGATCAAGAGCTGACTGCCCAACCGACAGAGCCACCCAGGTACTCCAAGATGGTTGTATTAAAAGTACATTCTCATAGGCTACAAAGTTGGAAGTAGAAAAATATATATTAGAATGATAAGGGGAGCACAATGTTAGTATTCAGGTATTAGAAAGCATTGTCTATCAGTATTCTGGGGTAAGCACATTATCCAAACATATTCTCAGTAATGGAGCTATATACTTCACGCTGCAAGACATAAATAGCTTACAGTTACTATCCAAGATGAAGAAAAAAATATTACAGCCTTCTATCTCCTTGATGCAGAAAGGAATAGTATTTCTACAAACCATCATCCTATTTTTAAAATATGTTTAATGCCTGCTAATCAAAAGGGTAATATTTACCATAGATAGAATTTATAGAGTTTTCAGAATAATTATTTGACCTTAAAATATTTAACCAGACAGCAGATAATTTTAGCTACATGGCTTAAACAATAGGCTAGACTAATCCTGACTCCTTTAAATTTTTTTGCTTTGATGCTAGACTTATCTGAGTGTTACTAACTGACTTTCCAACCCTTTGGGAACTAATGACCCATGACTTCAGGTTTCTGTTTGGAATTTTGGATTCTTATTTGACTTAGACATCTCCTTGTTGATGCAATCTCAGTCTTTGGGTAAACGAGTTAAGAGAGTAAGCAAAACACATTTTCTAAACTATAGAGGTATGAGCAGTGGAGTCTCCTTTTAATATAATCATGTACTACATACCTGCCTTCTCAGTTCTATGTTAGAGAAACAGTTTAATAGCTACCCCTTTTAATTTTTCCTTGTAGTGTGCCAATTTATATTTTATTCACAACCAATTACGTGGCTGTTAATGAGAAAAATATTTGTGATATAAACACATAAAGCACCAGCTGTGATTGCTTGTGAATAAAGGCCAAAGTGTCTGTTAAAAATAATCACTTAGGCAATGTGCACAAACCATATAATACCATGGATGTCACTAGAAGAAAGCAAGGTAAGTATAAATAATTTTCAGTTGAAACAAGCTTAAAAATACATCAGTGTAAACACTTAGAGGAAATATTCCAGGGCCAACAAGCCGAGGGATGGTTAATGGGGATAAAATGGCTGTTTGTATCAGAGTCACAGCACGTCGTTTTTCATAACCCTTTCCTCACAAATGTGCCAATAAATCTGGCACATTTTGCCAGATTAAATATCACGCCCGCTGCCATTTTCTGTTTGATATATAGCACTCCTTTTGACTATACTGACTTATCTAATATGTAATTTCCTTTAGTAGATATCATCCATAAATCATCTCAAGAAAGATCTGTATTTTAATGCCCAATTTGTAATATATGTTCCACCAATTATGCCTTTCTTAGATTTTCCTCCTGCACCCTGTGTTTGAAAACTCATGCAAAATACATACTTCACTTTTGATACCAAGGCACTTCAGTCAGAAAATAATAAATTGATATACTTTAGATTGACATTTTAAGTCCTTAATTTTCATGCAGGGCTATAAAAAAGCATAGTCCTTTGGATACCACTGGATAAGGTTCTGCTATTTTTGATCTAGCAAATATCACTGAGACATGCATCTCTTAGGTGGAATAAGGAAAAAAGAAATAGTTTCCAATACAACACAAATTTGAAACAGAATTTTCATTCTGAGCTTTAAGCTTCAATATATTCAAAACAAATCAACTTGTACCTCTTCTATCTTCTTCTGCATGATTTTCCATTGACTCTCCCATTCCTTCCTTTCATTGTCAAATTGGTCCAGTAACTCCATCTTTTCCTTGTGCCAGTTAGTCTCTGTGTTCTCCCACTGCTTATGCAGGTCCATGGCAACCGTGTGAGTGTTAGTGAAGGGGTATTTCTGCTTGTCTCTGCCTTCTTAACTGTTTCTTGGAAGCTTGGAGTTGTTTTATTTGAAGCAGTCCCACTTGCCTTTAAAATAAAGCCTAATATAAACATAACAAGAAAGAGTTCCAAATCCATTTGCTTTTTGAAAACACATTATCATTTTATTAAGAGCCATGACATAAACAAACCATAGGAACACTGCCCTTAAAAGAAGAGAGATGATTAACAATCTGCTTAAGAAGGACTAGCACAGTCAAAAAGTAAGTATTGTCCAAAGGCTTTTTTCCCCCTTTCTGAAATCAGACAGCAAAATTAAATACATACATGATATGTAAGCATTTTTTTTTAACTATCTAATCTAAAGATGGATTTTTTTCTGTGACTAAGAGTGGTAGTATGAAATTCAACTGTATGGCCATATATCTACACAACCGTGGTAAATTCTACTGCAACAGAATTACTCCTTTTCTGTTGCAACCAGAATACATGTTTCTATGAATTAAAGTCCTGAAACAGTGTTGGACTACAGTTTCAATTTTATATTCAGAGTTAAAGCCCATGCCAAATGGGATTATTGTATTAATAAGAAACCTGAGTTGGCAGTTGATCTGGGACTGATGTATCAGCAAAAAAAGACAAACTAAATCATAAAAATATCTTCATTATTTTACTTCATCAAGGAAAATGTAAAAACAACAAAGTTATCCTGGGAGCCACATGTTAAAACTTATCTCTCATTTTCTTCTAATGGACCATATATTCAAATCTGTTTAGGCTACTGAATACAGAGCACTGAAGAAAATGTTTTGCTCATTTTGCAAGGATATCTATCCTTGATCACATTAAGCTGTGACTGAAATAGATTTCTAGCTTTTAGGGTATGCGTATTTAGGGTTTGAAGATGAAATTTAAAATACCACATTGGTAACTTTGTTATAAGTCATCTAAAATTTCTGAGATTTAGTTTATCTATGTTAAAATGGAAGATACTTACAGGGTTGTTATAAAGATTAAATGACATATGGCATGCAAGATAGTTTGAAAATTTTAAACATTTTCCCTATTTTTTGCTTTAAAAGATATTGGTCTGACTTCTACTAAAAATAATTTTTATTAAGAAAGTCATATAGGGTGCCAGGCTGGCTGGGTCATTGGAGCAGACGACTCTTAATGTTGGGGTCATTAGTTCAAGTTGAGTGTAGAGCATACTTAAAAAAAAAGAAAGAAAGACATAGACATTTATTAGTGGGTAGAAAAGCATGTTTAAAATGTTTAAACCATCATCTAAGATAATCATGTCTATTAAAAGTCTATATCTTCAGGTTTCTAGGCCATGATCGAAATGTGTTAATTTACCAGGTAGTGGCTTATGCTAATTATGAGCAAAGTGCCCCCAGGGTCTATAGCTGCTTGGATGTTGGTGCTGTGGAATGAAGCCAACATAACCAGGCAGCAAGCCCCATTTTGTAGTTGCAAAAAAATGGTTGCATATTTCATGTCCCAAATATAAGATAAACATTGAAGATTAATTTTATTTTTATCAGACTGTTCTGAACATGCATATCCAAGTGGTAAACTGTTCCAAACATAGTTTGAGCTGCAATCTATCAATGAATTCTAAGAGACTAATAAGGATAAAAAAATGTCAGTACTATATGAGGGCTCCACCTTCAAAAACAGCCTAAAAATATTGAGATCTACATTGTTATTCTTCTCTTAAACTATTTCCCACAGACACTTTGGTCATTTTTACCTACTTCTTGACACTCCCAATACTATGACTAACCCAGTCAAGAAAAAGAAGTAATTTCAGATTTAGCCACTTGAGATGTTATCATGTCTCATTTTATCCACTTAGCCATGCTCTTTTTCTAATCCCATTTTCCATCTTCTCTGTCATCCTTCCTTCCTTTGACTACCTCCCACACCAATGAGCCAGGGACCACATGTACCTGCCATTACCAATGCTAGTTGCCCAAAATAAATATGTCAGTGAAGACCTAACAAAATGAAGATAGTAAAGAATATACATGATTTTGTTTTCTGTTTGTTTTGGAGACTCTGTCATTAATCTTGATTACCTAGTAATCTTTTAAGTTCATCTAATAATTATTCACAGGAAATGCAGACAGTGCTTATTTTTAGACTGGTAGACTGCTTTAAAACCATATGTAATTAACTGTGAGCTGAAACTATCTTGCTCACTAGCAGGTAGTTAACACTAGGACTTCTTAGGAAGAGTGGAATGAGTGGTTTAAGACCTCAAGAGATAGTTGGAAACGAACCAAGGAAATTATAGAAAAAAAGCATACTTCTTTCAGGCTAGCTGGAAAAGAGGTGCTATGACCATCCATGATTCATCCTGTCTTTAAGCACTGTAAATGTTCAGAAATCATCATAAAGTTTCTCCTATAGTTATGTACAAATGGCCCCAATTTTTCTTTCTATTGCTAACTCTTCTAGAACCACTCCAGACCAGGGTTAAAAGGTTAAAAGATGCCAGACCCTTCTTCTTTTTTTCTTTTCTTTTTTTCTTTTTCCTTTCCTTTCCTCTTTTCTTTTTTCTCTTCTCTTCTTCTTTTCTTTTCCTTTCTTTTCTTTTCTTTTTTCTTTTCTTTACAGTCTAACTCAGTCTAACTCAGGCTTGCTCCTTGTAACAGCACTATATATGAACCCAGGTAATGTTCCCAAAGCAGACAGAATCCTGCACTTAACTGCAAAGACCACTCATCATTTACTATGGACAAGGGCCAATCCACACAGCTTCCCCTCTCCAGGGCCAGGCCCCTATCTAGTGCCAGGAAATGTAATGGTTATGGATCAAAACCAAGCCTTTGAAAGAAAATTCCTATAGAGCAATATCTGTGCCAATTTTTGTGGGAGGATTTATTTTGCCTTCCTAGCATCTATGTCTCGTTATAAATGTCAAATATAGTATGACTGAATTTATTGCTTTCTCCTCCAAAAGTAAAATGGGGTCCATAGAGTCACTGCAGGGATTACATGAACATAAGAGAGAGAATGCTTAATAAAAGTCTCTCACATCATTCTGAACCATAGTGGGTGCTCAATAAATGCCTGTTCCTTGGTTTCTTCCTTCTGTCCTTCCCTCTTTTTCTTTTCTTCCCTCCTTCCCTCCTTGCCTTCAATTATCCTTCTTTATGTTTTCTTTCTCCAGAATAAAACTGAAGATTTTCACATTTTTTTTGGTTAGTAAATTAATAGAAGCAAATCTAATTGTGTGAACTCTCATGTTTTCAATGATTTTCGTTTGCCCTCGTTATTTTTCAAGTATTTTAGGATACGTGGCAAGTTGAATATTCAGAAAATTTTGTATTGTTAGCAAAGATTTGGATAGATAAATCTTATATAAAACTGCTTTTATTATAATTCTCCTTAAATATTAAAAAAATCAACTAATGGGGGCAGCTTTGGAGGGACTTAATGTTCTATGATGAGAAGTTATGGGGTAAAGTGGTTCAGCAGATTCTAAAACTCATTTTCACTGCTCTCTACTGATGCAAATACAAAAGTCCTCTTTGTTTCTAGTTGTCACTCTTTTTCACCCACAGATATTGGCATCTATGTGGGAGAGAAGGAAGGATTACTGCTATCTGCATCCCTCCCTGTGTCGCTATCAATTCACTCCGTGCACAATTTCCTTCAGAATAAAAATTTATTAGAGCACCTGTCAAAGGGTAGAGTGAGCTGCATTACTCAGTCACGCACACGTTCTTTTCTCAACAACTCCAAGGTAGCATTATACAATCCGTGTAACCTACTTCCGAGCCCCTGAGGCCGAGGCTGGAAGTCAGAATTGTTGGGTTGTGAGTGGGTTGCAGGAGTATGGTGATGGGAGGAAAATTGTTCTGCTTACTTAGGCCCCACTAGCAGGCAGCATTTAAGAGCAACTTAGGAGTCTCACAATAAATTATTTTAATTTCTCAAATTAGCCTCCGTGTGGTCATAGGAACACTTCTTTGAGGAGTGTTCCATTCTCACTACACCTGGGTCAGTACCATTTTACCCACCATCTCCCCAACTGGAAACTGGACATTAGCCAAACAAATCAGCATTACGGGAGCTGACTCTCTCGCTACTTCTCTCTTCTGAGATTTTTGTTCAGAGTATTGTTTCTTGCTCTCCCATCTCCTTTTTCTAAACATACTTTTCCTATCATCAAAGATTTTTCATTTGTAGGAGGTTACAAATGAATGTTGGCATGCTACGCACCGTGCTACTCAAAATTCCTAGAAGAATCATTGGTCCTAGAGAGGCTTTGCTTCTAACTTTGAGGGATTTAGAATTCCCATGCCTATACCCATCAGAGTTATGCATCAAGATTCTCTAGCTCTTCCTCCAGGCTATCAATCATTTGCATCATTTCAGCTAATTAACAGACCTATTCCTACCCTATTGTTTTACTAGCAAATGCATCTTTCCAAAGACAATGATTTGATTTGATTGCAGGGCAAAAAGGAATATTTTTTTTATTGCTATTTCTTGCTATTTCAGCATGTTCCTCATGTTCCAAAAGGGTCAAAGAGATACTACTACATGCAAGTCTGAAGAAATACTTTCGTCTTCTCATTTTATTACCTTCTTCTTCCTTGTTTTTCCCCCAGTTAGACACTCAAACTAGAAAACACCCAAAATATAGGTGTACTGATTTTACATCTCCTAAAAAAGAAAAGCTTTGAAAGAGACTTTAAGTATCTAAAATTAATTCGCTTAAACAATAGAAGATGTAGTGGTAAGGTCCCCTTCTAATTACAGATTAGTTGGTTATGCATGGCACACACTTCCACTAAAATTACAGAAACACTACTCATGTAGTGAGCAAACGCCGTCATCTTGAATGAACTACGTTTATTTTTCTTTGTAATTTTCAAATACCAATAACCTCATGGGTTTTGAATTTTACTTGCAAATGTAAGAAGTCTTCATCCTAATTAAAAACAACATTCTGATAAATACATTTAGTGAAATCCTACAGTAGGCAAAGTGCTGTTCAAAGTACTGAGAAGCAGTGTTTTAAAAACAGTTTCAGAGGGCGGATGTCATTGTCAGTCCGGAGTTGAGAAATCCACTCACAGCAGCTGGACCTTCTCATCCCTGGGCGTCAGTAAAATCCGTTATGCACCCCGCCCCACTGTTTTTACAGCCCAGACGCAGACACTGGAACAGGCGGATGTTGAAATAATCTTGCACTTAAACAGTGCCCATAGTTTAAAACACATCAGCAGTAGCCCCTCTATATTTTGCCACAATGAAATCACTTGATTTCAAAAGGTTAGGAAGAAACATACCTTTTAGCTCTGGGGAGAAATCCTATGGATGTTCCACCATTTGGTCAATCTAGCAATGGAAGGATAGCTAGGTTTTTTTTTAAAGACAAAAGTCTCAGCTCGGTGAATTTTGCTTCTTTGCAGAAAATGGGAATGCAAAATACATCCAACCATGCAAGAGAGCAGTACTGGCAAATCCCTTTTAAACCTTCACTCCTTTCACAAATCAAGAAGCCACTCAGGTCAGTGTCACAGCAGCAGCTGAGACTCCTGTGACGTCAGATACTTGGAGGCGGCCTTCAAGCCACTCTTCCAACCAGAGCTCTGTAACTTTAGAGCAGCTCATACTCTGGGTAAACAACTCCAGGTCCAGGACATTTTTAGCTTTTATAATGGAGCCCACTATTTTCAAACTTGCCAAAAGGGCTGGTGTTAATATCACACAATGACAATGGCCAATTTTAGAGGTTATTTGAAAAAGTCACCTCCTTTTTTATAGTCAAGAATTATTTCCTTGCATACTTCTCTCTCTCCCTTTTTCAGTGAGAATCAGAATGCACTTTTCAGTGCCTTGAGAAGTTGGTGTCTGGATGTGGCATAACAACATGTGCAACAATTATATATATACACACACACACACACACACATATATAATGTAATATATTTAATATATATACATATATGTATATGTATGTAATATGTTTAATCTCCAAAGATTTGTGAAAACGTATCAAACTTCTGTCTTTAAATAAAGTAGGAGTGGGACATATATAAAGACCAGCCTCATACTCTTTGTGTTTCTATGACAGCTTGCTGTCTGTAGCTACAATAGTGATGTCTTTCTGCCAGAGGAAACCAGAGACCATAGAAAAGAGTAACACTTATTATGGGAGGGAAAAAAACCAATGAGATGCCCATGTGTTTGTTTTCAGTTGAGGTGTACCACAGCCCATGTATATGGAGAGGCTCCCTAAACCATGGCCAAATTGATCTCTCCTGGAAATGCCAGGGAAGATGCCTCTCTCCAGCAACATTTGCAGGTTGCATGTGAACTTGTACATGCATCCATCTGCTCATGTTTGGTTTAACTGAGTTAAAGAAAGTGTCTAACACAATTCTGTGTCTATTTTAGCAAATAAGCCATTTAAGGGTTTAAATACTAAGATCTTATCCTCAAGTCTGAAGAATTTCCTCTGTGTGGTCATTAAAATGTTACATATTCACTTTCACGTTATTTTTGCCTGCTTCCATATGAATATTTCATGGGGACCTCAAAAGTTTAATTATAGTAACCTGCCCATGGTAACACTTTAGTACATACAGTACAATTGAAGGAAATCATGCTCTGTGTTTTGAAAGCCTGGCATCATAATTTCAAAAGCAATAACAGTAATAATAGTTATAGCAATAATAGTGATTACTCATAGAGAGACAGCTCTCTGCAAAGCTCTGGGCTAAGTACTTAGAATATATCTTTATCCTAGTTCACCCTCATAGCAAATATACCTGTAGATATTATTACCCTGATCTTACTGATAAAACCATGGCTGAGAGATGTCAAGTATCTTGCTGAAGTTTGTAGAAAAACATGTGGAGGAATAGAGCTTGGAACTGGTTTTTCTTTTCTTTTCTTTTTAAATTTTTAAAAATTTATTTATTTATTTTGAGAGAGAGAGAGCAAGCACAAGCAGCAGAAGGGCAGAGAGAAGGAGAGACAGAATTCCAAGCATGCTCTGCACGATCAACACAGAGCCCAATGCAGGGCTTGAACTCCTGAACTGTGAGATCATGACCCGAGCTGAGATCAAGAGTGAGATGTCTACAGACTGAGCCACCCAGGCTCCCCAGAACTGGTGTTTCTAACGGGAAATGCGAGAATTTTGCACAGAGGTCTTGGTTTCTTTTTTTTTTTTTTTTAATTTTTTTTTCAACGTTTATTTATTTATTTTTGGGACAGAGAGAGACAGAGCATGAGCGGGGGAGGGGCAGAGAGAGAGGGAGACACAGAATCTGAAACAGGCTCCAGGCTCTGAGCTGTCAGCACAGAGCCTGATGCGGGGCTCGAACTCACGGACTGTGAGATCATGACCTGAGCCGAAGTCAGATGCTTAACCGACCAAGCGGTTAAGTGGACCAAGCCACCCAGGCACCCCGAGGTCTTGGTTTCAATTCTATTGCCACCACTTATCTGTGTGAATTTTCAAGTGTGTTTCGTCTGTAAAGGGATAATTATATTTACTTCATGAGGTTGTTGTAAGAGTATGAGGGGACACTTTTAGTGCCAAGCACACAAAAAAAGTTGGTTTATTTCTGCCTCTAACCTTACCAGGACAGGAGGATAATCCTGGGGTGGGGCAAGGGATTGCCCCAAAGGACCTCTACAGAATTATCTAATAACATTGTTCCCCCTACACTCTCTTCCATTCCAAACCTCTTAATATCCATGAGTCCTTTGTGAACTGAATCAAGACTTTTCTAAATCCTATCAGAACTTCAGATAATATGTAGCTAAGTGTGGGAGAAATGATGTTGGGCTATACTCTATAGTATCACTCAATAGTACCTATTCGAATGCCCCCCTTCCATGGAAACCCCAGTAATTATTTATTGCAGGTGCTTCCATCTGCTTCTTTTCATGGTAAAACTGACCTTAAATTACACAGAATCAAAAACTAGGGAGAGACACTGACAAGAATTTCACTCCAGGTATATCACTTATTCTAGTATTTACCAACCCTTTTGTGGAATAATTTTTTTTGTATGTAGTAGCTTCAATTTCCATGCTGTATTATATACCCAGAAGATGAAAGCATACAAAGGCAATAAATATTCAGTGCAGATGCTTTTGAATCTTTCCACTAAAAACTTTTAAGAAAACTTTGAGAAACATTCCTACTGGTATGTATGTAAAACGAATGGATTAAAAAGACCGATGCTGGTATATTCAGCCCTTTAATGATATTCAGATATCTTGAAGTGCCTGACATTTTCAAGCAGCTATCAGAATGGCTGAAAACATTATGGCAAAAATGCAATTTGTTGTATACTCTAGATTACTTTAAACCATTTCAGTATTTACACCTTCAAATATGAAATTGGCCCAAATAATTGCTCTGTATATTGAAGAGAATTTGGAAGAATCATGCATATCTGGTGACATACTGATCCTAATTCAAAGTATAGCTAAGGGATAAGGACATGTATAACATAATATTTAATGTAAAGTAAATGCAGCAACATGTGCTGCTTCAAGAATCATAAAAGAGAATCCTGAAAAGGATTTGAAAAGGTCTACATGCATAATGATATTAGGCCACAAACTAAAACATTTTGGAAAGGGTGAAAAAGGAATATTGAATACATAAATGTTTCTAGTTGAAGGTGTTTCTAGATTTAGAGAATTCTAGAGCCAGAAAGAACCTCTGAAATCATCTAGTCAACCCTCTCATTTTATAGCTGAGGAAAGAGGCCTTGATGTTAGGTCATCTGCTTAAGGTCACAGAGCCACTTACTAGCAAAGCCAGGAATAGAATTCTGGTCTTCTCATTCTTGGTGGAGTGCCTTGAAGTTTAAAATTCCATGGAGTTCAAGGGAAGGGAACAGAACCCAGGGATAGGGGGTTGGGGCATGAGAGGTTTAATTCTGGCCTTGTCAACTTTTAAATGCAGTTTTCTGTTAAGTCCATACGAGGGAGATCACATTCCATCTTCCAAGTACAACACAGGAATCTAATAGCAGAGTATTTACCTTGATGACAGCTTGTCTAAAGAGGCTGTGTCTTGAGATAATATAAATCTTGGGTCAAAATGCAAAGACAAATGGATTTTCATTTAGTGGTTGAAGGAAATCTGGAAATAGACGCTCCAATTTTGCCTTTAGCAGGCCAGTACACATTTAATTTATAGTTTGCATCTAAGTGATGATTTTGAAGCATCACAAAGTAGTTATTTATTTAGTCTCTTTATGCTGTGACAACTATGGTTGTGTATGAGGCTGGGTGGCTTCTGGCTTCTTGCTTGTATAGTTTTTCTGTTCCTTTTCTTTTCTTCTTGAACCATATCTACCAGTTGAAAGGGTACTGTGTTTCTACTTTCCTTGGCAAGGAGATGCAAAAAATTGGAAAAATGATGACTTTGAAAAACTGAACTCGGGGCGCCTGGGTGGCTCAGTCGGTTGAGCGTCCGACTTTGGCTCAGGTCATGATGCTGCAGTCTGTGAGTTCGAGCCCCACGTTGGGCTTTGTGCTGACAGCTCGGAGCCTGGAGCCTGCTTTGGATTCTGTGTTTCCCTCTCTCTCTGTCCCTACCCCCATATGCTTTGTTTCTCTGTCAAAAATAAACATTAAAAAAAAAAAAACTGAACCCATTCTAATGCATATTAAAATTTAGGTGCTCTTACAGATGTCATATTTAAAATAATCCTTTCCTTTAGAATAATGCACGTTTTGCAATTTTCATAATACTTTATGATATAGGATCTCAGTTGCTTAGCAGGACTCTCTTGACTCTTAAATTATCTTCCATTTCTAGGGAGAGGTCTTGGGCACTCCAATTAGCATTCCATGTAACAAATATCTGTGAGCACCAACTCTGTGCCAGGTATACTGTCAGACCCTAAGGCCCAGAAGAAGAATAAGATAAATCCTTGTTTGCAGCAAGCTTGGTCAACTCTGAAGATTCCTGAAATGTAACCTGTGGCATTGACTGTCCACATTCTGAGCAGCCCACGACCTTGAAATAAACTTATAAATGAAAGCAAAGAGCCTCTCCTGGTGGTCCCCATTCCATCAAGGTGACCAAAAACTTGTGGCACTCCCAGACTTACTGGACACTGCAATCACTCAGAGAATTATATATAAAAAAAAAAAAATTATGAAAGCTGGAACTTGCCCTCAGATTTTTGGAATCAGGTCATCCAGTGATGAGGCCAAGGTTTCTTAATTTTTATAAAGTTCCACAGCTAATTCTGTCAAATTTGGTCCTGTGTTATTTTAGTCCTAGAATGACAGAGTTTGGATTTTGTGTTAGTGATAGAAATATAATTTTGATACTTATACAAGAGTCTGTTTTGGTTTATAAAATTATAAGAGTCACACACAGAGTATTTATTACCCATGAAAGTTACATATTTAGATTGTTGTGTTTCAGTGAATGTGCTTATTTTCCCAGTGCTGGATGTCTTCCCTCTGGAATCATGGGATGCTGGCTCTCTCTTCTTTCTGAGGGCTGGTGGCATGTCAACAGAGTTTTTAGCCAAGCAGATCTGTC